TCTGACCTACAAGTGCCTCTTTAATGTAAATGTAAGCAAGATGACTGAATGATCAAAAGCAATGTCAAAACTGGCCAAAACACTCAATTTCAGTGGGGGTTGAATAATTTTGGTCACAACTGTATCTGTCTGGTCCATCCTTTTTGTTGGAAAATTATTTTTATTCGGTGAGAATAGAATACAGAACCGTTTGGGCATTACTTGACTTGGCACATATAATGGACAACACTTAAACAACAGTACACAGGTGAAAACCTTAAAAACCAAACCTTAGCAGCTGCTCGGCATAGGAAAGAGGAAAACATCTGAGATAATCAAGTGGGACACCAACTCCTGAACTCAGTGTGCAAGGAAAAGGGACAAGGGAACGCCATAAAGTGCTAGCAGAAAAGGAGCATACCACTGATCCCTATCACAGATATCCTACGTATTGTGTAGGCAAAGGACCTTTTCATACAGTGACTAGTACTCACTTCGAAACAGGGGCAGGAGAGTTAAGCCAGAATTCCCACACCTTATTAAACTTCTGATGGCCACCCTGGGAAACGTAGGTGGCTTTATAAAGAGGGATAACAGCATTGATTAAGGCAGGCATGTCCAAAGTCCGGCCCGCGGGCCATTTACGGCCCGGGGGTCGGTTTAATACGGCCCTCCAACAGCCCTCCCTGCTCTGTTTAATGTGGCCCTCCCACGGCCCTCCCTTCTATGGCAGACGGTCTTCTGCTTGAGAGCAGAGGGCAGTGCACATGCCTGACTGCGGCGCGTTCTCCCTGGTCTGTGTAAATGCGGCTGTCGCACGGCCCTCCCTTCTGTGGCAGACAGTCTTCTGCTTGAGAGCAGTGCGCATGCGTGACTGCACCGCGCTGGGAGCGACAGAGGGCGGTGACGTCAGGGCCGGGCTTCCAGAGTGAAGTGTGTTTCTCTTCCCCTCCCGGCTGCCGAGCAGAGACTTCAGCTCCAGCTACCTTTTTCACCCTTCACATTAGTGCAGGTAAGTTTTTTTTTTTTAATTTATTTTCAATACATTGTGAAAACTCAGCTGTCAGTTGATCTTAATGTTATGAAATGAAAAGTATGTCGTTTGCAATTAACTTGGCATAAAATAATTTATTTGCATTGGCAATTGTAGTGGTTCAAAGAATGTTCGGAAAAATGTTCGGCCCTCCACCATGTTCACTTCATCCAATCTGGCCCTCTTTGAAAAAAGTTTGGACACCCCTGGATTAAGGATTTCCAAAAGCTAAGGGCTGGGGCCTCCACTGACTTCCATTTTAAGGCAATAGCCATTCTAGCATAGAAAATCAAAAGACTACTGGCCTGGTGGTAAGCTAGGGGCTCCACCAGCCCTTGAAGGAAAATTTCAACAGACATTGGGATAGGTATAGTAGTCAACTTAGACACAAAATTTGTAACCTCCAGAAAGCCTGAATGCAAGAGCAAGTCCAATACACATGCCTAAACAAGCTGGGTCCTCCACACATCTCCAGCAACAAGAAAAGACCTCAAAATAAATTTTGTGCAACCTTTGAAGGGTCATTTATGCTCTATAATAAATTTTAAATTGAATCAGCCTATACCTGATGGCTTCCAACTGAAGGGAATGGTTTTCCCACATATCCTCCCAATCCTCACCATCAATACCTGGAGCATCCGCCCACCATTTAGAGTGTAGATCTTCCATGCCCACATGAACCGAAGGCATAAGGAGTTTGAAGATCTCTGAAAGAGGTTCAGACAAAGAGATCTTGTAGCACAAATTCCGTTTGAGACAGAGTCAGATCCAATTGCTGTTTTCCAAATTGGAAGTGGTAGGCATGGCAGAGCTGCAGAATTAAGGATTGTGAAGGCCAAACTGTTGTTTTAGAGCAGGGGTCTCCAAACTTTAGCCTGCGGGCTGGATGTGTCCCTTTGCTTGCTTTTATCTGACCCTTGGGCCAATCCACTGGTACGAAGCACTATCCCTTCCACTGACACCAAGACAGGGCACTATTCTCCCCACTGACGCCAACAATGGGGCACTATTCCTCCCACTGACATCAATGATGGGGCACTATTCCTCCCACTGACATCAATGATGGGGCACTATTCCTCCCACTGACATCAATGATGGGGCACTATTCCCCCCACTAACACCAATGATTGGGACACTTCTCCACCCGCTGACACTATTCCGCCCACTGACACCAATTATGGGGCACTATTTCTTCCACTGACACCAACAATGGGACACTATTCCTCCCACTGACATCAACGATGGAACACTATTCCTCCCAATAACACCAATTATGTATATTTCTTTACCCCCATGTAGTAAACCAAGCCCATGGCATTTGCTTTGCTTGCTTTTATCCAGCCCTTGGGTCACTTCACTGATAAGAGGCACTATCCTTTCCACTGACACCAAAGACAGGGCACTATTCCTCCCACTGACACCAACAATGGGGCACTATTCCTCCCATTGACATTATGGGGTACTATTCCTTCCATTGACACCAGTAATGGGGTACCATTCCTCCCACCGACACCAACAATGGGACACTATTCTTCCCACTGACACCAATGGTGGGACAATGGTGGTCTGCCCCATTGTCAGACCCTACGCTGGTGCAGTGGGTCCTGGGTTCCTCCTGGTGCAGTGGGTCCTGGGTTCCTCCTGGTGCACGACAATGCCCGGCCTCATGTGGGGAGAGTATGCAGGCAGTTCCTGGAGGATGAAGGAATTGATACCATTGAATGGCTCCCACACTCGCCTGACCTAAATCCAATAGAACTCCTCTGGGATATCATGTTTTGGTCTATCTGACGCCACCAGGTCACACCTCAGACTGTCCAGGAGCTCAGTGATGCCCTGGTCCAGATGTGGGAGGAAATCCCCCAGGACACCATCCGTGGTCTCATTAAGAGCCTCCCCCGACGTTGTCAGGCATGCATACAAGCACGTGGGGGCCACACAAACTACTGAGGACCATTCTGAGTTGCTGAAATGACATTTCAGCAAAATGGACTCGCCTGCTGCATCATTTTTTCACTTTGATTTTTGGGTGTCTTTGAATTCAGTCCTCTGTAGGTCGATCATTTTCATTTCCATCAAACGATGGGGAATCCTTACGTTCCCAACACATGACCCAGTCCATGTCAGTACAGAGATCCAGCAGGAGATTCCTCCCCATTGAGATCTGATGACCATTTTGTTATAAATGGTCTAACAATGCATACAGGGTACAAAACCCCTGGTCTCAGCAGCACCAAAAATCATGTTTTCATGCAAGAAGGTATCCTAGAAGTGAAAAAGAGAAAATGAAGACTTGCATAGGTTAATATAGTTAAAACCAAGCAATTTCTAAAAACGAATTGCGCACTCACATTTTAAAATGCAGCATAGGCAGTAATAAACAGCAAGCATCTGAACAGCAAGGTGTCCCAATAAGCCTGGCTTTGGCAAGAACATACATATGTGATGACGTCACCTCTGATAGCCCTACCCTACGTGTTTCGTCCTAGTAGACATCATCAAGGGGAAGGATCTAATTAACCTACCAGCATGTCTTTGGAATGTGGAGAAACCCATGCAAGCACAGAAACAGCATGAAAACTCAATGTAGATAGTGTCTCAACCATGACTTCAGCTGAGCTGTTAGGCAGAAGTACTAACCACTGAGCTACTATGAAATCCATTAATCAAAATAAAGGACATACAGCAAGTAAAATTGTCAAAATCACTCCAAAGACTTTCTCCAATCGATCGTACTTACATCGCAGAACAAAAATGTAATACTCTATCTTGCAGCTTATTAGTCCTTATATGTGGTGATTGTATTGATTTTCTTTTTTTTTTTCAGGCTAAGTACATTTTCTGCGCATACAAAAAACAAACAAACTGTTGATTCTGCTAGAAGTCGTGTGTCCTTGTAATGTTTTGTGCACCGAACCAAAAACCTCAAACAATGTTATCAGCTTTCACAGCTATCTTCTGTGAACTACAAAACAACTTCCTTCTATGTAATGGAGATGGGGAGCGTGTTTGCAGTCTCGGGAGAGCTGCCTGGGGTGACAACTCTTCTCCATATATACAGTACGACGAGTGAGCGTTGTCACCCTAGGACAGGATGTGTGCTACTGGAGGGATCACCAGGTGAATATAAAAGAAAAAACTAATGCAACCATCAGATCTAAGGACGTGTAAGCTGCCATATATTACATTGGATTGTACGACTTCACAATACACCCTCCCCACTGCATTACCAAATCATAACACACTGCTTTATTGGGGTTGAGAGCCAAGACCACCAGACCAAACTTGAACCTACTGTGAAAGAAGTTTTCATGACTTGGGTGCCAAAAATCTGTACCACACCACCAGATAACCAACTGAATTAGGCGCCATGCACATGGTGCAGCTGGGAAATAACATTTGGGGGTATTTCCTCGCCCAGGAGCCACATACACTGGGCACATTGAAATTAGGGGCTGTATGCAGATGTCATGTTATGGTACTAAACAAGCTCATTATGGACGTAGGACCCTGGATGTAGCCTGCCTGCATCTAGGTGGGTAAATCCATATGCATGCGCATGTTTAAGCATCTATCAACGTATGCCTACGTACAACCATTGATTCTTATGGGTGGCTGTACATAGCGCCTGTGGCTCCCAGACTGGGAAATACCTCTGAATTGTACATGATATGTCCTCAGGTTCTCATGTGCATGAGGTCACACTGTCCAAAGGAGGTGGGCGACAGTACCCCCAGCAAAAGTTTGTACATAGTGTCTGTGGCTCCTGAGCTGGGAAGTTCACTTTATCCGCTCTCCCCGGACCCCGCATTCACTATATCGGCTCTCCCCGGACCCCGCATTCACTATATCCGGTCTCCCCAACCCTGCATTCACTATATCCGGTCTCCCTGGACCCTGCATTCACTATATCCGCTCTCCCCGGACCCCGCATTCACTATATCGGCTCTCCCCGGACCCCGCATTCACTATATCCGGTCTCCCCAACCCTGCATTCACTATATCCGGTCTCCCCGGACCCCGCATTCACTATATCCGCTCTCCCCGGACCCCGCATTCACTATATCCGCTCTCCCCGGACCCTGCATTCACTATATCTGCTCTCCCCGGACCCTGCATTCACTATATCCGCTCTCCCCGGACCCTGCATTCACTACATCCGGTCTCCCCGGACCCTGCATTCACTATATCCGCTCTCCCCGGACCCCGCATTCACTATATCCTGTCTCCCCGGACCCTGCATTCACTATATCCGCTCTCCCCGGACCCCGCATTCACTATATCCGCTCTCCCCGGACCCCGCATTCACTATATCCTGTCTCCCCGGACCCTGCATTCACTGTATCCGCTCTCCCCGGACCCTGCATTCACTATATCCTGTCTCCCCAGACCCTGCATTCACTATATCCGCTCTCCCCGGACCCCGCATTCACTATATCCGCTCTCCCCGGACCCTGCATTCACTATATCCGCTCTCCCCGGACCCTGCATTCACTATATCCGCTCTCCCCGGACCCCGCATTCACTATATCCTGTCTCCCCGGACCCTGCATTCACTATATCCGCTCTCCCCGGACCCCGCATTCACTATATCCGCTCTCCCCGGACCCCGCATTTACTATATCCTGTCTCCCCGGACCCTGCATTCACTATATTCGCTCTCCCCAGACCCTGCATTCACTATATCCGCTCTCCCCATGACCCTGCATTCACTATATCTGCTCTCCCCGGATCCCGCATTCACTATATCTGCTCTCCCTGGACCCCGCATTCACTATATCCGCTCTCCCCGGACCCTGCATTCACTATATCCGCTCTCCCCGGACCCCGCATTCACTATATCCGCTCTCCCCGGACCCTGCATTCACTATATCCTGTCTCCCCGGACCCTGCATTCACTGTATTCGCTCTCCCCAGACCCTGCATTCACTATATCCGCTCTCCCCGGACCCCGCATTCACTATATCTGCTCTCCCCGGACCCCGCATTCACTATATCCGGTCTCCCTGGACCCTGCATTCACTATATCCGCTCTCCCCCGACTCTGCATTCACTATATCCGCTCTCCCCGGACCCCGCATTCACTATATCCGCTCTCCCCGGACCCCGCATTCACTATATCTGCTCTCCCCGGACCCTGCATTCACTATATCCTGTCTCCCCCGACCCTGCATTCACTATATTCACTCTCCCCGGACCCTGCATTCACTATATCCGCTCTCCCTGGACCCTGCATTCACTATATCCTGTCTCCCCCGACCCTGCATTCACTATATTCACTCTCCCCGGACCCTGCATTCACTATATCCGCTCTCCCCGGACCCCGCATTCACTATATCTGGTCTCCCCGGATCCTGCATTCACTATATCTGGTCTCCCCGGATCCTGCATTCACTATATCCGCTCTCCCCGGACCCTGCATTCACTATATCCGCTCTCCCCGGACCCCGCATTCACTATAACCGCTCTCCCTAGAACCTGCATTCACTATATCCGCTCTCCCCGGACCCCGCATTCACTATATCCGCTCTCCCCGGACCCTGCATTCACTATATCCGCTCTCCCTAGAACCTGCATTCACTATATCCGCTCTCCCCGGACTCTGCATTCACTATATTCGGTCTCCCCGGACCCCGCATTCACTATATCTGGTCTCCCCAAACCCTGCATTCACTATATCTGGTCTCCCCGGACCCTGCATTCACAATATCTGGTCTCCCCAAACCCTGCATTCACTATATCTGGTCTCCCCGGACCCTGCATTCACTATATCCGCTCTCCCCGGACCCTGCATTCACTATATCTGTTCTCCCTGGACCCCACATTCACTATATCTGGTCTCCCCGGACCCCGCATTCACTATATCTGGTCTCCCCGGACCCCGCATTCACTATATCTGGTCTCCCCGGACCCCGCATTCACTATATCTGGTCTCCCCGGACCCCGCATTCACTATATCTGGTCTCCCCTCCCACTGCATTCACTATATCTGGTCTCCCCGGACCCTGCATTCACTATATCCGCTCTCCCCGGACCCCGCATTTACTATATCCGGTCTCCCTGGACCCTGCATTCACTATATCTGGTCTCCCACAGTACACAGAACATGGAAATGCAATTATTTTAGTAAATAGAAACGGCTAAATACCTTTTCTCATCAGCAGTATATAGCAGTCTTGTGACTTCAGCAGAGCACCGGTTGAAGCTTGTAGGAGGAGTTTTCTTTCTGCTCTAGGAGTATGTGAAAGTCCTGACCCTCTGTCTGGACAGTGCTGATTGGCCCTGTACTGATCACATGCACTCTCCCAAGAAAAAAAAACCTCTCTAGCAATACACACCAAACTGAGCATATGCATGTGGCTACTGATTCAGTCTGTATCAGGTGGTCATTTCAACAAGAGGAGGGGCACAGAAGACAGGATCAAACAGCCTTTTTGCACAATGCCGAGGATTAACCCCTTAGGTTCCACAGTGAGTATAACAAGCATGCTTTGCTGCATCTACAGACTGATTGTACTGTTGGGGGTTCAGTAACACTTTAATTATATTATATTTCTACCTATTTACTAAGGCTAGCAGCATAAGGATTAAAAATAGTTTGTTGTTGACTGAGAGAGTTTAGTTCCGCTTTAATAGGCGCTCATCATGCATTTGCCTGGGGAGAACGCAACAATCCGTACTGTCATCGGTATCAATTAGTAGAACAATGCGGAACTTCAGCACACAGCCAGTGATTGACTATTACAAGGATACAAAACCATATAAAAATGTAACTATTGAAACAAGCGATCCTCAGGAGGCTGAGATTCTACAGCTCATCATTTATGATGTCTGTCTGTCTGTGTGTGTGTGTATATATATATATATATATATATATATATACACACACATATATATATATTTATTATATATACAGTTAGGTCCATATATATTTGGACACAGGCACAATTTTCATATCCAAGCTCCAGTTCTATAATGGATATGGGCTGAAAGTGTGCACTCTCAGGTTTAATTTGAGGGTATGTACATCCAAATTGGAGGAAGTGTTCAGGAATTACAGCTCTTAAGAGTAGCCATCTCCCCTCCAAAAGTAATTAAATAATTGAATCAAAAGCTGTTTCATGGCCAGGTGTGGGCTACTCCATTATTTCTTCATCAATGAAGCAGGTAAAAGGTCTATAGTTGATTCTAAGTGAGGTATTTCCATTTGGAATCTATTGCTGTAAACCTACATCATGTGTTCAAAGGAGCTGTAAGTGAAACAGGCCATTGTAAGGCTTCAAAAATGAAACAAATCCATCAGAGAGATAGCAGCAACATTAGGAGTGGCCAAATCAGCAGTTTGGTCCATTCTGAGGAAAGAAGAACGCACTGGTGAGCTCAGCAACATAAAAAGGCATGGACGTCGACGGAAGACAACAGCGGTGGATGATCGCAGGATCCTCTCTATGGTAAAGAAAAATCCATTCACAACATCCAGAAAAGTGAAGGACGCTCTCCAGGAGGTGGGTGTATCATTGTCATAGTCTACAATCAAGAGAAGACTTTACGAGAGCAAATACAGAGGGTTCACCACAAGGTGCAAATACAGAGGGTTCACCACAAGGTGCAAATACAGAGGGTTCACCACAAGGTGCATATACAGAGGGGTCACCACAAGGTGCAAATACAGAGGGGTCACCACAAAGTGCAAATACAGAGGGTTCACCACAAGGTGCAAATACAGAGGGGTCACCACAAGGTGCAAATACAGAGGGTTCACCACAAGGTGCAAATACAGAGGGGTCACCGCAAGGTGCAAATACAGAGGGTTCACCACAAGGTGCAAATACAGAGGGTTCACCACAAGGTGCAAATACAGAGGGGTCACCACAAGGTGCAAACCATTCATAAGCCTGAAGAATAGAAAAGCCAGATTAGACTTTGCCAAAAAAACATCTAAAAAAGCCAGACCAGTTCTGGAAAAGCGTTCTTTGGACAGATGAAACTAAGATGAATCTGTACCAGAATGACGGGAAGAAAAAAGTGTGGAGAAGACTTGGAACAGCTCATGATCCAAAGCACACAACGTCATCTGTAAAACATGGTGGAGGCAGTGTGATGGCATGGGCATGCATGGCTTCTAGTGGCACTGGGTCATTGGTGTTTATTGATGATGTGACAGAAGCAGCCGGATGAATTCTGCAGTGTTTACAGATCTACTGTCAGTCCCAGGGGCGGACTGACAACTCATGGGGCCCCCGGGCAATAGGGGATCATGGGGCCCCTGTGTCCTTGCCCAAACTCAAAAATGCCTAAGAAAAATGTACCAGGGGCATTTCATGGGGCCCCCTACTGATCCCAGGCCCTCGGGCAGTGCCTGAGTTTCCAAATGGTCAGTCCGCCCCTGGTCAGCCCAGATTCAGCCAAATGCAGCAACACTGATTGGACGGCGCTTTACAGTACAGATGGACAATGATCCAAAACACACTGCAAAAGCAACCCAGGAGCCTTTGAAGGAAAAGAAGTGGAATAATCTGCAATGGCCGATTCAATCACCTGATCTTAACCCCATTGAGCATGCATTTCACTTGCTGAAGGCAAAACTAAAGGCAGAAAGACCCACAAAGAACAACTAAAGACAGCTGCAGTTAGAGCCTAGCAAAGCATTAGGCTGGAGGAAACCCAGTCTTTGGTCATGTCCATGGGTTCCAGACTTCAGGCAAAGCATCAGGCTGGAGGAAACCCAGTCTTTGGTCATGTCCACGGGTTCCAGACTTCAGGCAAAGCATCAGAAATGAGGAAACCCAGTCTTTGGTCATGTCCATGGGTTCCAGACTTCAGGCAAAGCATCAGAAACCCAGTCTTTGGTCATGTCCATGGGTTCCAAAACTTCAGGCAAAGCATCAGAAAGGAGGAAACCCAGTCTTTGGTAATGTCCATGGGTTCCAGACTTCAGGCAAAGCATCAGAAAGGAGGAAACCCAGTCTTTGGTAATGTCCATGGGTTCCAGACTTCAGGCAAAGCATCAGAAAGGAGGAAACCCAGACTATGGTCGTGTCCATGGGTTCCAGACTTCAGGCAAAGCATCAGAAAGGAGGAAACCCAGTCTTTGGTCATGTCCATGGGTTCCAGACTTCAGGCAAAGCATCAGAAACCCAGTCTTTGGTCATGTCCATGGGTTCCAAACTTCAGGCAAAGCATCAGAAAGGAGGAAACCCAGTCTTTGGTCATGTCCATGGGTTCCAGACTTCAGGCAAAGCATCAGAAACCCAGACTTGGTCATGTCCATGGGTTCCAGACTTCAGGCAAAGCATCAGAAACCCAGTCTTTGGTCATGTCCATGGGTTCCAGACTTCAGGCAAAGCATCAGAAACCCAGTCTTTGGTCGTGTCCATGGGTTCCAGACTTCAGGCAAAGCATCAGAAAAGGAGGAAACCCAGTCTTTGGTAATGTCCATGGGTTCCAGACTTCAGGCTGTCATTGCCAGCAAAGGATTCTCAACAAAATATTACAAATGAACATTTTATTTATGATTATATTCAATTCTCCAATTACTTCTGAGCCCCTGAAAATGGAGGGACTGTTTATACAAATGTGTACAAAAATTTGTACTTGATATTTATGTTGAACCCCTTGAATTAAAGCTGAAAGTCTGCACTTCAAATTTATTTAGATTGTTTTGTTTTATTTTACTCTGGTGGCATACAGAGCCAAAAGTATGATAATTGTGCCCAAATATATATGGACCTGACTGTGTAATATATATATAAATTTCTATAATTGAATTGTAAGGGATGTATTTTCAGGCTCCGGAGGACAGGTTGTGTTAATGGTTATATTTTTCTATCATTTTCTATCCTCGGCTTGTAGAAATTCTCCTTCAGCTACAAGGCAGAGAGGTCATGGCCTGTGAAATAGAGAGGAGACCCCAGCTGAGAGCCCCGACAAAAGCCGTCACCTTTATTAGAATCCTTTAATTCAAGGATCTCACATAGAAGATGGCAAAAAAAAAAAGGTGGCGGCATTGGTTGGGATGGGGGGATTGGGGGGGGGGGGGGGGGGGGGGGTGGGACACTTTCCTGAGGACACGGTATTCGTTTCGAGTCCTTAACAGTTTTGTCCTTGAGTTCAGATACACTGTAAAGTGACCGGGACTCTCTTGCTATGAAGACATACAATACGTAGTCCAGTACCGGGACAGGTTGTCGCCAAAGTCCAGGGCAAGGGATGTGGTGTTCTGTCCCCACATGAAGGCGAATGAAGGTATAACTGATAATGGCTGTGTAACTTCCTACCTTGTATCCAAGCAGTGGAGCAGACCGGACCGGCAAGATGTTCAGGGGTTAGACGGCAAACGTATACACAGGAATGAAATCAGCGTGGGTTTATTTGGTCCAAAATACAGCGACCAAAACAGTGATTACAATACTGTAAGGTAGTAGAGGTATATTGATGCTGTCCTGTGATATCTTTCCTGAGGCTAACTGCTGGTCAAAAACTGATGCCTTCACAAGCCCAGGGTATTGAATGTCCTGTCACACAGCTATACAGCAGATAAAATGGGCTGCAGGAAGTGACCAGAACCAAGGCTTGCCTAAAAACCACGCCCTGCAGAGAAAACACTTACTAGCTATAACAAAGGCATGCAGCATGCAAATTCTGGCCAGCAGATGGCAGCAACAGATCAAGACATAGAAAACAAACATGGTGAAATAAGAATTGGTAATACAATGCACAGTTAAATAACAAATATGAGGAGAACAGCCACACTCCCCGTCTGAAATTTCCATAAGGGATTTCACTATGCACGAATGTCCATAAAAATATTAAAACAACCTGTAACAACAAAGAACATGTTAGAA